CCTCAGAGTCCATAGTCTCTCATGGTTCGTCTTCCCTCTTTTTTTAAAGAAATAAAAGTACAGATACAGTGAAGAGTTGAGGGCCCCTGTGTAGCCAGCCCTTTCCAAGCTCAATCTTTTTCCTCCCCCCCAGATGCAACCCTACTCTGAAGTTTGTGTATGTCTTACCTTTCAGAGACAACTTTAAGAATTCACTGGTTCTGCCTCCTCTGAGTGCCCTTAGTTCAGCTGTGGTCTGTGCACTACTGGTTTAGGGATCACCTGGGGCACTTGGAAAATACAGAGATCCCAGGTTCCCGACTCTTGAGATCCTGTTTCAGAAAGTCCAGGGCGGGCCTGGTCACCTTCATCTTATTATTACTTTATTATTATTTTTTTCACTTACATTTAAAAAAGCATGCCAGGTACAAATCAAAACCACAATGAGATAGTATTTCATATTCACTAGAATAAAAAATACATACAAAAACAAATTGGTGAGGATATGGACAAATTAGAACCCTTATACACTTCTGGTGGGAATATAAAATGGTATACGCATTTGGAAAACAGTTTGGCAGTTCTTCAAAAAATGAAACACAGGGCGCCTGGGTGGCTCAGTCGTTCAGCGTCTGCCTTCGGCTCAGGTTGTGATCCCGGGGTCCTGGGATCGAGTCCCGCATCGGGCTCCCTGCTTGGCGGGAAGCCTGCTTCTCCCTCTCCCACTCCCCCTGCTTGTGTTCCTGCTCTTGCTATCTCTCTGTCAAATAAATAAATAAAATCTTTAAAAAAAAAAAAATGAAACACCAAGTTACCATATGATCTGGCAATTCCACTCCTGGTTATTCACCCAAGAGAAACGAAGGCACAAAACCTTATCAGGAATGTTCACAGCAGCATTATTCATATGCACAAAGCACCCACTCTCCTTGTATGCATTCTTCTACACCAGGCGACCTTTCTAAGGAGTTTCTCTGATATAAGTAAACAGAATTGATTACTCTTCATGTAACTTCTTCAGGATGGAGGACTGAACTTAGCATGGACTTTGGAGTGAGACTTGGAATCCAATGCAATTTATGTTGTTTGCCAGCTATGAAAACAAATGGGAAAAATACCTATCCTGCATAGTTTCTTTCCCAGTCTGCTCTTAAAATACCAAAAGCCATAAGATCTTGTTATAATTTGCTAAATTAGATTCAGTCTCAGATAGAGATATCCTAAACTTAAAGAAGCAAAAGACTTGGGACACCTGGGTGGCTCAGTCAGTTAATCATCTGACTCTTGATTTCAGCTCAGGTCATGATTTCAGAGTAGTGAGATCAAGCCCCACATTAGGGTCCACGATGGGCTTGAAGCCTGCTTAAGATTCTCTCCCTCCCTCCCCCTTTATCCCTCCCCCTCCACTGCCCCACCCCACTCACTCTCTTTCTAAAAAAAAAAAAAAAAAGCAAGCAAAAGACTTAGTCTAAATTGTCTCATTTAACTCTTTGATATAAAGCCAATCAATAGATCACTTTATTCTTTGTAGACAAAGACTACATTTATTCATTTATTACTTTGATAACAGTAAAGAGAACATTATAACTAAAATGTTTGCTTCCTGATTCATTGTTTTTTTATTTATGGTAATTAATAAAGACACATGGGCACTTAAATCCATAGCTATAATTCTTAAACTCTAGAGCTTATTTGTTTTTATTGTTTTATTATAAAATGCTTAACTATATAAAGAAGTACAGAGAATGAGATCACAAATACTCAACTGCTCAGTTTTATGATAATTTTTACTATGCTTGCCAGATTTCACTTAAAAAATAAACATTCCAAGCCTATAGCTGCAGAATCTCTACAACTAGTAAACCAACACCAACTCGTTTAGAGTATCAACCTAAATTATACTAAATGTAAAGTGAGAAATAGCTGTGCAGTTGAAATTAAAAATTCTGATCCATCCTTGGTAAGAAATATAGCGGAAGATCAGCATTGACTGGAGACTGTCCCAGGAGTCTTGGCTGTTGCCTCCTGTTTCATATGTCCTTTCATGGGATCTACTTGCTTGTCTGTGGTCCCTGCCACCTGACTCGGAGAACTCAAGACCTAATGGAAATCAGGCCACAGGCTGGGTTGGGCCAATCAGATTCTCCTTCTTTACAGAGAATTTGAGTGTCGAGATGCAGATATTCTAGTGTGTCCTCTACATTAACACTAGTTGTTATGAGAGTAAATCATAAAGTAAAATGCACATCTCACCTCCATGCTTTAGAAACCTATTGCCTGTTCTTGAACTCCTTAGCCTAAGATAATCTTAGATAATGGTCTCCGTCATTCCCTCCTCTTCAGCTGGAACCCAACATCTAATCACTATTAAAGATGAGCTCAAATTTTCTCCTTGTCCTCCCTCTGAGAGGTGGAATCTGTTTCTCCTCCCCTTGAATCTGGGGTAGCCCTGGGACTGGCTTTAATTCACCAGAAGATGGGGAAAGGAAAGCTGTTTGACTTCTAAGGCTGCAGCTTCTGCATGCTTGCAGTACTCCCTCTTGGATCCCAGTCGCCATGCTGTGAGAAACATTCCAAGCCATGTACACAGGTCATATGGAGGAGATCCTTGATGCTCAGGTCAACAGCCTCAAGCTGAGCTGCCAGCTGCCAGCCATGTAAGTGAGCCATTTTGGAGGTTTCTGGCCAGTTGGGCCTCCAGATGACTGCAGCCCCCCAGTACCACTCTGGAGCAGAACTGCCCTATAGAGCTCAGTAAATCACTGATCATGAGAGAGAATCAAAAGCTGCGGTGGTGATTTTATTTATATATATATTTTTTCCCTCTATTATTAATATCTTATCTCAGTACCTTTGTCACCATTAATGAACCAATACTGACACATTATTATTAGCTAAAATCCATACTTTATTCAAATTTTCTTAGTTCTTACCTAACATTCTTATTCTATTCCAGGATCTCACCTAGGATATTGTATTACATTTAGTCATGATGTCCCCTTAGACTCCTTTTGGCTGGGACAGTTTCTCAGACGTATCTTGTTTTCTCTTGACAGTTTCGAGGGTAGTCTTGGTCAGGTATTTTGTAGGACATCCCTCTGTCAGGATCTGTCTGATGTTTTTCTCATGATCAGAGTGGGACAACGGGTTTTGGGGAAGAAGACCACTGAGGAAAGGTACCATTTCAGCCCATCACATCAACAGTACGTACTATAAACATGACTTACCTGTCGATGTAGACCTTGACCATCTGGTTGAGATGCTGTTTGTCAGGTTTCCCCACTATGTGAAGCCACACTTAAGGAATGGGGACTTAGGCTCCACATCCTTGAGGGTGAAGTATCTACATAAATTATTTGGAATTCTTCTGCCCAAGAGATTGTGATAGTGGTTTTAAACCCCTAATTTTTGGTGTGGTTTAATACACAGCAAGATATCAGGGCGCCTGGGTGGCTCAGATGGTTAAACGTCTGCCTTCGGCTCAGGTCATGATCCCAGGGTGCTGGGATCGAGCCCCGCATCGGGCTCCCTGCTTGGCGGGGAGCCTGCTTCTCCCTCTCCCTCTACTGTTCCCCCTGCTTGTGCTCTCTCACTCTATCAAATAAATAAATAAAATCTTTAAAAAAAAAATAAAAAAAAATACACAGCAAGATATCTGAAATGCACTCAAATCTTTTCACCATCTCCTGTTAGACTTCACCATTTATATATGCGACATATGCTTCATTCTGTTTATAATGCCCTTCCCACCTCCACCCACCCACTCACCAACCAACCAATAAAAATGAACAAAAACCCCTTATTTTTCCAACAAAACTCCAGTGTCACCTATCATGAAGCTTATCCAGAAGGAATTCTTTGCTTTGACCTAGCTCCTAATACCACACAGTTAATACCACTATCATTGCCCTTATGGTATAGTTCCCTCCCTCAACTAGACTATAAGTTCCCAACATGCAGAGACCCTGCCTTATGTAACTCTGCACACCATACCTGGGACCATCAGCACATACCTGGTGTCCCGTAAGTGTCTGTGAATTATATAATTAACTGAATGACTATAAAGGTGTATTATTTTTTTAATAATACCTCAATTTAAAAGAATAAAAGAGAGAGCATAAATAAACAGCTATAGTCCAAGATGTGTCAGTAAATCTACACTAGAACTGGAGCCTACCTCGTGATGCACAGTTCCACTGTGCAATAGCTAGACCAGGCACTAAGAAAACTGATCACTGCATTTAGTGAGTCAAAGCCACATATAACAGACAAAATAGTTTCTGTTTTCAGATCAGTGTGACAACATAGGCACATAAATACTAAATAAATTAGATCACACGAGTCTCTTTCTAAGGGAATCAGGCCAACGAAGTCCATATCCTCGCCTTTGGATTTCCTGATATGTCATCAAAGACTTTTTACAGAACATAATTTTCATATTTAACTTCTAAAGTGTGGAACAATGAGACAGATTCATGGGTAACTGTGTTAGTGCTATTCAATTTTCTCTTTTACATACACAGCAGGGAAATTAAATAAGCCCTGAAGTGGTCCTTGGGAAAAATATAAGGAATAGTCACTGTGTCTCCAAAAGATTCAAGGGCTTCTGAAGTTTTACATTAATACTAACTCTGTCAACTTGTCTTCCTTCAGTATTTACAATAGCGGCTTTCACTAAAACAGTAGAATGCTCTGCGAGAAAGTGATTAGGTCATACAAAACTGCGTTCTAGTGACCAGGGGAAAAAAGCCCTCCCACAGAGAGTACCAGCAGCACTGGCAGCAGCAAAAAGACTCCCCTCAGGAAGGTCCAGGGCAGCAGACTGGGCACTGTGCAGGACACAGTGTGAGATACCCTTGGAGTGCCCAGGAAGGACTAGGGACAACTTTGAAAGGAGAGAGACATAAAGGTGACACTGAGGGTCCCCATATGACCAGGCAGAGAAAAAGCCCAGGAGAGTCAGGACATGGAGCCAGATATAGAGATATACATAAGCACACAGATAACAATTTATATACAGGGTTTGACAGTGGTTAACATTCATTCACGCCTTAGCTTGAAAACCCAAACCTAACAAATTACCGTTTAAAAATTTATAGTAAAAAATGTCTAAAAAATTATTGATAATGTCTCTGTGCAGCAGGAATAAGGGACAGGCTTTTTACTTTTTACCTTACACACTTCTGACTCATTTTAATTTCTTAAAATAAGAATATAGAACTTGCACAATAAAACATTAAAAGATAAAGTGCCACCATTGCACAAACGAAGCATAAAGTTCTCTATGAGTTCAGTAAAATTGGTTTTAAATTGGTCATGGAGCACAACAAAAATGGCTATCAAGAAGAAAAAAAAATCTTCTCAACCTTAGGTTAGGTTTTAATTTAAATCAAGCTAGTTTCTAAATTCACCTAAAACAAAACACCCACTCTACTCACCCACTACCTGTTTTTAATTTCTACCCAAAGTGTTTGCATCTTTAGTAATTCACTGACCTTGGAACTGCTTTCTTCCGACACTTCTCCCTCATTGGTTTGCATGGGAACAGACTCTGTGCAAAACTCTGCAGAAACACACAAATACTGCCTAAAAGAGGTAAGAGGAGAAAAAAAAGGAATTCAGTGCAAAAATCAGTTTTTCAAAGATTAGATTGAAACTGGATCACCAAGGAGGCAATGACCTTAAGTAATGTGTGTGTGTGTGTGTGTGTGTGTGTGTGTGTGTGTACACATCTTTGGTAAGAAGGGAAGGAGAGAGGTAGGAGGGAATTTTCCCTACCTTAGGGGAGGATAGTTAGGAAAGGTTGAAGACATTGGGGTATTAAACAGTTCTAGATTTCTTTCTTCTTTTTTCTTGATTTTTGGCAGAGGTGACAGTGAAGATCTTCAGCAATTCATACAGTACAAACGGTGACCCGTCAGAAAGGACGCCCACCTATTTAAAGCAGTGGGCCAGCTGTTAGGCTGTAGCAGGTCATGCTGCCCACATATTACAACAGGCTACTGAAACTGGCCGGGTTTCCTGGGTTTATCATTTATGTTCAATATTTGTGGTATATTTTTTAACTGAAATTATGGTACACGCTAATGGTGGATCCTACTTTTTTAAGAGGATTTGCTTAATGAACTAAATATCAATTAATTTATTTTTACATGAGAACAGGCTGTCCTAGGGCAAAACAATAAAAAGTAGTAATTTTTCCTCTAAGAATAAAATGAGTCAAGTTGGGTTAAAATTTTATGAATTAAAATGTACCAAAAGGAAACTACTAATAAAGTGTATGTAACATTCAAATTTTCATTCAGTATGTAATTCCTGAGGAATAATTACTCAAACTGACACAAAACAAATCTCCATCACATTACAGGTAATCAATGTTTTAAAATCTTTCTAATATTTTATTTTTTTTAAAAGATTTTAAAGAAGCTTCTCCCTCTCCCACTCCCCCTGCTTGTGTTCCCTCTCACTGTGTCTCTGTCAAATAAATACAAATCTTTAAAAAAAAAATAAAAGGTTCATACCTACAAAATATAAAAGCTAAAAAGATGCTTGCCCCAGGATGTGTGTGTGCAGAGACTCTTTTTATAAATGCAGCAGCCTGGAGATATGGTGTGGAAATCTGTTTCCTCATCTGCTGGGTAGGAGAGGAGTATCAAAATATCTACTGTGCTCACCTAATGAGGTTTTTTGGGAACCATTGTGTATTTATGTGACATGAAATGTAAAATTGGTACAGTGGGAGCTCTGTTAATCAAGCCCCATTCACTCACTCCAGATGAACTGACACTGCCCATTCCCAGTGTGAAACAGATGCTCACCGCAAGGGAAACAGGCTTTCTCTAGCTGGTTTTGCCCCTCATCTGTTTATGACAGTTGTGCAAAAATAAACTTGCTCTTTCTATGAAAATTAAATTGACAGCACTGGAAAAAGTCAGGAAGCTACCTAGAAGGATGTCGTATGCAAACTGCTTCACAAATGTCCTTAAGCTCTCATTCTACTTTACAGAAATAGAGACTGTATTCATAAATGATGCATTATACGGACAGCGGACAGAGAAAGACACCCCAATGATTTCTGTGCCATTTCCGTTTGAATGTGCTTGGAAAGAGGAACCTCCTTCACCTCTCCCGAGGTCTCCCTCCTGGCTCTTCTCCACAGGTACAGGTTCCACCCCGGAGGATCCTTTCTGAATGGTGAGATCAAAGGGAGAAACAGGGTACGTGAGCTCAGCCCTTTTCTCTTCCTTTTGGGAGCCAGCTGTCCCCAGGGAGCATGCACTTTCCTCTGCTCTTGTTCCCCTAAATGCAGGCCCCTCACAATTACCTGGGACTAGGTAAGCCTGTTGAATATTGAGTTCAGTGCTAGGAAGTTCACTTGCCTATAGATGTACGCCATATTCTCCAATATAGCTTTATTAGTAACAGAGATGATATTTCGGTCTCTCAAATGCCCTACTCTTTTATTTCTCAGTTGGTATAGAACTCAGCCAAGGGAAAAAGAGTGCTATTTACTGGGTCTCTCAAAGACCCTAATATCTGGTATGTGAAACTAAAGTTTTGATAAATACGCATGAAGGAAAATTTGGGGAGTAAAATGCATGTGGAATTTCTAAGGCTTCTGTTGGGGCAGGACTTTGGGCCTTGGTCTTTTTAACGAGAGAGCAACGTGTTTCAATCTTGTAGAGGTTTACATGAGGCCACATGCATTTTTACTGTCACACACCAGCTTTACACTATTGAGGCCGAATTAGAAGTTTATAAACCACAGGCTAAACTGTATTTTGACATTAGTGATGACTGTAGTTATGGTAACTTTGTCTTCAGGTAGTGGCTGTTTCTATAGAGACAAGGCTGAATACACCAGGCACACAAGCCTTAGCAAAGGCTTGGGGGCTTTGCTGGCGACAGCAAGGAAAGAAGCCGCAGTCCGTTGTGGTGGTGGTACTGAAGGCTCATCTAAATGTCAGCTGTGCAAGTGACCTCAGCACTCATCGGCCACTCTGGCCTAGCAAGCAAATGCCCGCTGTGCTGGCCTCAGCAAAGGGAACAGGGCATTAGCAGGCTTGGTTGGCTTCAAAGTACAGAAGGCTGCTCCTGACCTTGAATTATGCAGGCACAGCTTTTCCTAAGCAGGCATGGCTGAGGCAAAGATTAGACTTTAGGGAAAAGAGACTTTCTTCATACTTTTAGATATTAATGAGTAGAACAATTATTTGTTGCACATAAGCTGCAAGGCAGCTGAATTTCAAACGACATGTGCTACAAAACCAGTGAAGTTTATGTTTAAATTGTTTGTGCTCAGCTTACACAGGCAATCCAAACAGGAAATGGAAATTAAAGAGATGTCTCACTATCCTCATAGAAGGCAGGGAGGCAGGGAACTTATACAGGAAGGGAAGGAACTTGGTAACTGGGGCTGCCACTACTATAAATCCCTAAATATTGCAAAAAGAAGGTGATACTTCAAGTATTAATCTTTAAAGCAGAAGACAGTGTACATTGGTTGGGTTTTTTTGAGATACAGTAAAGGCCCAGTTCCAAATTTAACCTCCTGCTGGCAGATTTTTCCAAATTGGGTGGAAGTGTCCCAGTCGTGGATTCTGTACACTGGCGTGGGCTAACTGGATATCCTGGAGAGGCTCAAACCAAGAGGACCTCATCCATCCTCCCTCCCTCAGATACCAACGTGGCAAGACTGAGTACAGCATTCTGAGAACCTACATTTATCAGAAATTACTGCTCATGGGCAGGAGGTAGACTTACTTTCTGAATCTGGTGGCTATGGGGACAGTGCTGAAACCATTTTGTTTAGCCTTGGAGTTCATATAATTTATATACTGTTCTGATCTATTTTAGGATCTCCTGAAGGCATAATCTATTTTGCATATCAATTTTGCCCAAGAAAATATCCAAGAGAAGAGTGGGTGGTAGTGGGGGTTTGTCCTCTTGAAAGTGGGAGCAGGACTGTTCTGAGACCCCCTCTGTCCTAGAGGGGAAGGACACACCCGACATGACCTGGATTACACTGGTGCTAGGAGACAATGTGCTAGGAGACGAGCTCTTCTGTGTTAGGGGAGGAAAACCTGCCCACCCTCGATGCTTCCTTCCATGGGAGGCAATATCCCTTTACTACTATTGGCCTTATATTCCTAACATGCTGTCAGGGTGAAGTGACTTGTCCGGTCAGTGAGTTTGGAAGAGGAAACTGGGCTTGCATAGTCCAGCACCCCCCAGGCCCTTTCCTGTGGGGGCACCTATTCTGCTCTGCTCCTTCCTTCTAGAAGGCGAGTCTGTCCCTAACTAGTACTGCTGGGTGAGGAAACCCGTTAAGTTTCAGAGCTGAGTATTAGAAAGCTGACTTGCTTTTAGACACAAGCCCCGTTCTATGTCAACTTTATTAGTAATAAAAGTGAAAGTCTGATCTCCACCTGCTTTACTCCTTCATCCTATATGTCTGTGGTTCAGAACTTGCTCAGGGGAGAGAATGTTTCTTATCAGGTCCCCTTCAATTCCAGGTTATATCTGGAACGTCTCCTCTTCAGAATTAAGTTTTCTACATCGGTCTTATCTTCCCAATTATCCCACTGCCATAATACGAACAGCAGACTTTTACTTTATAAACTTTTCAACTCTATTTCTAGCTACTCCCCATGCACACACTATCCCCCACTTCACACAGGCAGATCTTCTCTCTATTCTCTCCACACAGCTTGCTAATTTAATTTCTTTTTAAAAAAATGTATTTAAATTCAATTTAATTAACATATATTGTATTATTAGTTTCAAATTTAATTTCTATTTATGCAGTTCATACCCAATTTGAAAACCCTTCCCCTCACCACCAATCCACATCTCTATCTTTCTAATATCCAGTCAATTTTTATTTCTAAAAATCTTTCCTGATTAATACCATAGAGTCTGCCTACTTACTATATGTCCTATCATACCTATTTTTCTATTTCTCCTTTCTTTAATTTGTCCTCCTTTGTGTGTGTGTGGTTTTGGAACTATTCTTAATAGTTTTTAAGGTGTTTCTTGAAAAAGCCTTGCTGACATTCTTGTGAAGCCACGGCTTAGAGTTGTGTGTAAGGGTCTAAGTGAGTTTTACTGCCCTTCTGACAAAATGGAAGGAGAATAAAGTAGGCCATGCAAAAGTATGTGGTTGAGCTAGGGGCTCCACTCGAGAAGTGACAAAGGACCAGTGTATTGGTGCTAAGAGAGTGATGAAAAAGTCAAGGCAAAGTGCACTTATGTGAAAATTCACTGGAGGGGGCGAACAAGTGGTAGTAAAGCTGTCAAAGCTGACGTGACAACACAAGCATTTGATTTCTGCTCTGGCACATGATTTCACCTCCGAGCTGTCACCAGCTTGCCATTATGTGGTTAAGTGACCACTGACCTGGTGTTGCTGCAGCACACACAGAACGGGACTCAACAAACGGTAACGACAAACATGAGTAAAACCATACATCATACCGCACCCATGCTCGGTCTTTTCTAAAAGCTGGCAAATATATTTGTACCTTCCAAGCTCTCCAGGATCTAGCCCTCACCTGTCTCTCCGGTGCCATCAGCCAGACCTCTTTTTCCCTTTGCTCCAGGCATAATGAACTACTTACAGTTTCACAGATGTGCCAGATTATTTCCAGTTTCCATGTTTTTGTTCATACTACCCCTTCTGCCTTTCCCTCCCTGATGCCACCAGAGAACACCCTACTCTCATCATTCAAGACTCAACTTTTACAAAGTATTTCCTGATCCATCTCTAGGCAGAACTGGCGATTCCTTCCTCAGTGTCCCCGGTGGATCTTGTCTGAATTCTATTACATGATCTGTAACGCTCTACTGGCTTTACTTGCTTACACAGATGCTTCCCTTATGACACCATCAACTCTTTGACACCAGACACTGTATCTTGTTAATGTCTGTATTCATCGTTTATCTAAAGCTGTATACCCGGCATTTAACAGTCAATAAATTTCTAGGTAGAAATGACCGAATTAATCAACTAAAGTCCTTTTTATTTAAACTGCAATAGGTATCAATTCAATAGATACTTCCTGGGTCCCTACCACACACCAGATGGTGCTCGGCCAGAGTACTACAGTAGAACAAGTTTTGGCTTTGAAGGAGCAGAGTCATTCATAATTCTTTGTCAGTTATTAGCTGTGTAATCTTGGGCACTTAACGTTCTAATCTTCATTATTTTCATCCATAAAACTTGTCAGAAGGAGGTGTTACAAGGATTAAATGAAATAATATATGCATAGCACTCAGCAAGGTGTCCAGGAGCAGCCAACAGGCACTAAAAAACCAGTTAGTTCCTTTCCAAGAAGTCTCAAAGGGTTTACAGACTAGGAAAGGAGACAGAGACAAATAACGCTAATGTAAAATACTGAATGCTTTATTATAGTCATAGTAACGGGTGCACCTAGAATACAGATGAGAAAGAAATTCTGCCAAGGTGGCCTGGGAGAGGGGACAACAGGAAAGATACGAGAAAGAGCAGCGGATAGCTGCATTCTTCTCCCCTCTTCCAAACTCCAAGTGAAAAGAAAAGCATTGACCAAGGCACAAAGCCATGAAAAAGAACTATATATTTGGGAAATAGAAAATGGCCCGGTAGGGCTCACAACAGATAGGGGTGCACTAGAAAAGCAGCCAGAAACATTGATTGGAATTAGGTTCTGTAGGATGTTTGTAGGATGGCGTCTGTAGCAACTGAGAGCCACGAGAGCTGTTTGAGCAAAGGAGTGACATGAGTAAATACATCATTTTGAAAGCTAGTCCTGGCAGTAATGTGGACGACAGACTGGAGTAAGGACAGACTAGAGGCAGAGAAACTAGGAATACGCTCACAGAAAACTGTGGAATTGCTAAATCCTAATAACAAATTCTAGCTTTATAAAAGGATGAGGCACCAAATGTCACTATCAATCATTTGGATTGATGTGCTTTTTAAAGGGACCTACTGAAGTAGAAATGCAAAGAGCTGATGTGATGGCCACTTTAAATACCCTCGTGGAACAACTCAGGAAAGGAGCAATAACGTCAAAATGTACTCTTCTTTTTAAGATGAAGTCTCTCCCATTTCACTGCTAATACACGGTGTATTGAAATTTTAAAAACTTACCTTTGACAGTATCCTGGGGCAACACAAGCCCGTGAAGATGAGTCTAGACTACATTCAGTGCAAAAAACCAAAACCCTGAAAAAAGAGAAAAATCACAGTGAGCTGTGTGCTCATAGTAAGATGCATGGGAAGCGGCAGGGCACAGTTCTGAATCAGGGAGCCTATTACAAATCCAGGCTCTTCCATCTACCAACTATTGACTGTTGGGCCAGTGGCCTAACCTCTCGAGACTTAGCTTCTTCATTCAACATTGAGAACAACAGCACCTTCCTCACAGGGTTCTTGGGAAGTTTAAATGGAATATGCATAAAACAGCATAGGGCAGGGCACCAATCACATGCTCAATAAAGGTGAGTGGTTATTAAGAATGTGAACTGAGGGGCACCTGGATGGCTCAGTCGGTTGAACGTCTGACTCGATTTTAGCTCAGGTCATGATCTCAGGGTGGTGGGATCCAGCTCAGGTCATGATCTCAGGGTTGGGAGGCTCCACGCTCAGCGCTGAGTCGGCTTGAGATTCTCCCTCTCCCTCCCCATGCTGGAGCTCTCTCTAAATCAATCTTAAAAAATACCCAATGTGAACTGAAATACCTTCTGAAGAAACACTAAAACCTATATTAAACCTTTATTATTGATTTTACCTTATCTGTTCTACCAGAAAAATGCCAAGTTGCCTTTTCAACTTCTCCATTTGACATGAGGATATCTCATAATCACTTCAGATTCAACACATCCCAAACAGTACGCTTCATCCCCTGCCCAGACCTCATTCTCCTGTCTCCACTGTCTTATCAAGGGCACCATCTTCTGCCCAGTTGCTTGGGTCAGAACCTCTGGTTCATCCAGGATTTCTCACCCTATCCCAGGCCTCTCACAGCCCCATTAGCAATCCTGTCATTTCTAATTCACAGTATGTAAATTCTTCACTTTCATTGCCATTACCATTCCTTGCTAGTGGAGGCCCCTTAGCTAGTCTCCTGTCCCAATTCTTGCTCCTCCCCAGTCTGTTCCCAAATAATGGCTGGAATGGCCTCTTCAAAATCAAACCGGATCATAACAAGTTGCTAATAGATGCAGTGAAAATTTTATTTATTTCATGATGGAATGTCTCTCTCTTTATATATATGAAATACATACTTACATATGTGCACATACAGATATACGAATATATATGAAATGAAAGCCACTTAATATTAGACATTTAAAGGTCCCAAGCCAGTCCCTTCAATTTACAATGGCAGAAACAAATGCCAGAAGGAGATCCTGCTCAAGGCTGGACCTCTGTGTGTGTGCAAAAGTGGTCAAAACAATGCTGGACAAGCCCTACAGAAACTCATCTGTGATTAGCGTCCGCACTGCTGTCAGAATGCCTGTCACTATTTGGAAGTTGGGTCCTTAGTTTCACAATCAACTTAATGTGTCTGTCCAAGAAAGCGCATTCCATTCCCCACAGCTGCAGATTATGAGTTATAGCTTTAGTTCTACCTCATGTCTTAGTGTTTGAGGGGGTGCTTCAGGGAATCTTGAAAGCATCTTGCTGCTCTCTTATCTGCCATCACCTCTCCCCTTGCTTATTTTTTAACAGCGTTTGAATAAATAAATCTCAGATGGAATTACACTATGATGAGTATTAGTGATATTTTAATTATTATCCCTATCTTCCTACTATACACACCGTTGTCCCAGCCATCTTCCTTTTTAAAAAGCAAATGTGACCTCTGAGTAGATTGCTGCCAAGATTCAGTCAATAATTACCCATTACCTTGAGGGTAAAATCCAAGATCTCTCTAGCCCCATCATCACTTCATAGCCTTCTCACGGGGACTGCGCGTGGTTCCCTTGTCCAAAATACATACACTGATATCTGCTGAGGGCCCTTGGCTTAATTCCCGCCTACTCCTCTTGTAAGATCTGCCTCAGGAATTATCTCCTGAAAGTTTTCTGTACCCTCCTTGGCTGCACTAAGTGTCCCTCTTCTGAGATATACCATATAATATTGGTAGCGTCTGAGGGTCTGCTGTCTACACTCAATGGGAGCTTCTTGACAACAAGGGCTCTCTGTGTCTTACATATCTAGAATTTGGTATCCAGCAGGAGTTCAATAAACAAGATGAACTGAATCCTGACATGCTCCCAATAACTCGGTACTTCAGTGTGGAGCCTTCCCCACTTAAATGGCATGAGGGAAAGCTGAAGAAGCTAGCTGGAACTTCCCAGATGGGTCTGGTCATCATGAAGGATGTAAGCTATGTGGTTATGTGTGACCCTCAGCACCTTGGAGAAAGATTCAATTCTTCATTTTTTGTCACCTGCGGATCATCAAGAGAACAACCCTAACTAATTTTCAGTTCTCTATTCTGATTAGTTTCTGCCCAGGCTAAACATGACTTCTCTAGACTTACCAGTGGTCTAAATTCTGTACCAACTTCAAAAAGTAGCCCATCATTATAGAATTTGCTAATAGATAAGCTTGGAAGGACACAATGGCCAGCTCAGTCCTTTGCCTGCTTGGCAGGTGGGCTCAGACGCTTGCCTGTGTTCAGTGAGCGGAAAAGCAATTGAAGCAGAGGAGGGGCAGGTGAAGGAAAGTGGGCAGTTTCCAAGCACTCTGGAAACCAGTTTTCACAGAACAGCTTCCCTAGTTTCTCTGCAGGGCTGTGAACCTCTGTTATCAGATGCACTTGTACTCAAGATAAACATAACATTTGATTCTAAAATCAACATTTGGAATTATCTAGTTGAAGTTATCCACAGCACTATTTTCCTTCTAAGGTATGAGTAATGGCAAATTCCTTCAAAACATCATTTTGAAATGTTCTGTAATCCTACTATCTGATCGTATATAACCACAGCAGTAAACTATTTGAAGCATTCCAGTTTTCTCTGTTCTCTTGCAGAGTAGTAACCAGACTGGGCTTGAGATTCACACGCAGCTGGGAAGGTTTCATGGGTCTTGGACTAAATCACTACTAGGTCCTGCTAAACTGCAAGGAGACCTCAAGAGCTCCTCCAAGCCCAGTACCTAATCTAACTCATGGGATGTAATCAGACCTACATCTTTCCTAGGGAATATGGCAAGTTGAAAGAAGGACATTTCCAATACATTATATTCACTTTACTATTCTAATATGGCATAGTTTTAATTTTCAAACTTGATTATTCAGCCTGATACTTTTAGGCTTAATTTTAATTCTCATTTTAAAAAATTCAAGTGATAACGATAAGGCCCTTGATCACGGTCCCCTCTCCCCCTACCCTCACTCAGGACTCACCACTGTTATCAGTTTAATTTCCAGGCATAATTCTGGGATGCAGACTATTAAGAATATACAGTTCAGGGGCGCCTGGGTGGCTTAGTTGGTTGAGTGTCTGACTCTTGGTTTCAGCTCAGGTCATGATCTTGGGGTCGTGGATCAAGCCCTGTATTGAGCTCCAGATTCAGTAGGGAATCTGCTTGGGATTCTGTCTCTTTTTTCCCCCTCTGCCCCACCCCCCACCTTGCTCATGCACGCGCTCTCTCTCTAAAATAATAAAGTAAATCTTAAAAAAAAAAAAAAAGAGGGATGCCTGGGTGGCTCAGTCAGTTAAGCATCTGCCTTTGGCTCAGGTCATGATCCCAGGGTCCTGGGGTGGAGTCCCCGCATCGGGTTCCTTGCTCAGCAGGGAGTCTACTTCTCCCTCTGCCTGCCACTCCCCCTGCTTGTGCGTTCTCTCTGACAAATAAATAAAATATTAAAAAAAAAAATACACAGCTCATCCTTGAACAATATGGGTTTGAACTGTGTGGGCTCATTTCTATGCAGATTTTTTTACAGGACAGTTCTATAATTGCATTTTTTTCTTATGATTTTCTTAAGAACATTTTCTTTTCCCTAGCTTACTTTATTGCAAGAATGCAGTATGTAATACATATAAAATGCAAAATATGTGTTAATCGACTGCTTATTTATTGGCAAGGCTTCCAGTCAACAATAGACTATTAGTTAAGTTTTTGGGGAGTCCGAAGTTATACACAGATTTTCGGCTGCACAAGGGGTCAAGGGGGTCAGGCACCCCTAACCCCTGCGTTGCTCGGGGGTCAAGCATACTGTAAACTTTTAACTGAGTCACAAGTAACACTGAAAGCCCTGACTGCTTACATCATTGGCAAGTGGCCTGACTTCAAGCAAGATGTCCGGAAGAGGCATCTTAAGCAAAGCAGCAGATGGGAGGTGGAGCAGAACACGAGCAAGGGAGCCTTTGCAGGAGGTGAGCACAGATGCCAGGAGAATCGGGGCAGACAGGAGGGTACCGCACATCCAGCTCTATAAGTGGGGTGCGCAGCCCAAGTGGGCAAGATGGAACCTATTTAAGTAATACAAATAATAATATCGAAAGCCCAAGCAGCAGAGGTGGAGGTAACTTTGCTACAGGCAGATGGGTTTATTTAGCTGCCAATACACAAGCGTTATGATTGTTCCAAGATCTGGAAATGTTACCTGTGCAGTTTCAGGTCACCTCTACTTAAGTTCAACACTTTGGAAGTTCTATAAAATGTTCCAGTCTGCACATTCTGAAAACCATCTCCATTAATCCTAAAATCTCTTCTAGTTTTTGTGCCCTCCCTCCCCTTTCCTCTTCTAGTCAAGTTTCTTCAAAAAGAAGTTTATATTTGTGGTTACAACGCCCTTACCTCTCATTCACTTATTAATCATTGCAATATGATATCTTTCTCTATCAATCCCATTATCAAATACAATGGCTATTATTCAACTGTTTTGTTTTAAACTCTCTTTCACATTTAAAAATCAGAATGACCTGAAAGTCTTATCATTTGGGTGCTCCTTTCCTATTTTGATATCAAGGATACAGTAGATCCAGGGGCACCTGGCTGGCTCAGTCGATGGAGCACACACGACTCTTGATCCCAGGGTTGTGAGTTTGAGCTCCGTGTTGGATGTAGAGATTACTTAAAAGTAAAATCTTAAAAAATAAAAATAAAAAAAGATACTGCAGATCCAGTCACTGAGCCAGAGGCACCTTGTTTTAGTTGCCGGTCTTTTAGCTGTGTCTAGGTCCTCCTGTCTCCCTGGGTTT